GTTCAAGGTATGGTCCCCCTAATTTCTGGTTCGTGTATGGTCCCCCCTGAATATCTGGATCGTGGTATGGTCCCCCTCGATTTCTGGATTGTAATGGTCCCCCTGATTTCTGGTTTCTCGTGGTATGGTCCCCCTGATTTCTGGATCGTGTATGGTCCCCCTGATTCTGTTCNGGTAGGAAATATAATGTTGAATGGCTCTATAATCCCTTGATGATCCAAGAAATGTAGGCAAGGTAACAGGCATTTATTGACACCTTTTCAGATATCGGAATATCATTTTTATCTCTGCTTTAGATTACAAAACGAAAATCAAAGTTACTCTTACTGTCAAAAAGTTTTTTTTTTTTTTCCTCTTTTTAATCTGATAGTTTCATACGTTCTGTATAAAGCAAACAACAAGCTTTCTCTCCATTTCTCATTATTTTCCTAAAGAATTAGAGAATCTTCCGTTATCATTTGTGAAAAAGAGCTGATTGTTGGCGAAATTCTCTCCGACTGAACAAGACATCCATCGGCCTGTCGGTCGGACGCCGTGTGCGACTAAGGCGGACGTCGAGGGTCGACCAATTTGCGAATTTTATACTTGTCAATTAATGAAGTTGTGCGAAGGGGGAGGGGGAGTGAATGGGGGGGGGGGCATGGCCTGTCGATTTCCTCATGTCCCCCCCCACACACACACACACACATGGATTATGAATTAGTTTTAATGAGAAAATAAATTTTTATGTTTTTTCAGTTCTTATAAAAGTTATTTGAGCACACAAACATCTATCTATCTATATACATATAGATAGATAATTAAATATATATACATACATATGTATACAGTTATATCTACATATATGTATGTGTGTGTGTTTGTCTGTGTGTATGCATAAGCGTACAGAAATAAATAGATAAATAAGTAGATTAGTGAGTAATAGAAAAAAAACAGTAATTCGTATGGAGACAAAGACCTTTTTACATTCAAAAACGCACCCAAGCTTTACACTATATTTGTATACTTGCAAGCATTCGCACACAGATCTCGGTAACTTACAGGGAGACATGCAGGGAGATGTACACATAAACCCACATGCACACGCACACGCCATGCACGCATCTGACCTACACCATATTTCTCGAGAAAAGTTCCCATCTCGTCAAAACTTCAGGAAAGAATGATGAATTTTTAGTCGTAAGGAGGGATTGGAAAGCGAAATTTGGACCAAAACCAAGGAGAGAAAAGTGTGCTTCCAGTTCAGTTGAAAGCAAGAAAATGTTCTAGTATTCAGGAAATGTTCTTTTGAAAGCTTAAGCATAACTTCTCTTCGCAAACACAGATAAAATGTCGGTAAACAAGCAGCCACATTAACCGGCACACAGACACACGTACACATAACCCAAATGCATACGCACATATCCTTGCAAGCATCTAACCTACACCATATTCATCGAGAAAAGTTGCCATCTCGCCAAAAAATTCAGGTAAGAAGGAAGAATTTTTAGTCACAAGGAGGAATTGGAAAGTGAAATTTTGACCAAGTCGAAGGAGAGAAAAGTGTGCTTCCAATTCGATTCAAAGAAAGAAAAATGTCTTTTTATTCAGGAAATGTTTTTGAAAGCTTGAACATATATCAATGGAAGCAGCCACTGCATACGTTGGTTGTGAAAATAGAGAATTTTTTTATTTATCTATTCATTAAATTGTTTATTGAAAGCTTAAGTATATGCTAAAAAGAAAGAAAGAAAGAACGAGAGAAGGAATTTTAAGACAAAATACACTCGTAAAATTTCAGATTTGGGTGATTTTATTTTCGCCGAGGGAAATGTCCTTCATAATCACAGGAAGCGAAATTAATGAAATCCAAGTTTACACACGCTATAAAAAGGCCATTTTCCCATATGTTCACACGCAATATGCCCGCTATCCTCTTAGGTTAACCGATTTTCTCGCAGTCTGTTTAGTGCTGTTAAAAGCAGGGGATCTCGTGACGTAATCAGGACATACCTTTTAAAGACATCCACACATGCACGCACGCATTCTTACACTCTGTCAATTCAAAATTCATTTCTTCCGAACTGTTCATTGGGAGACCGCGAGACAGTGTCACTAAGACGCGGTAGGTATGTCTCTGACTCTTGATAAGTTTCAATAAAGCGACTAAGTTTCCTTTCTTTTCCCTTCTGTTCTTTAACGAACACTAATTTGAATTCAATAAAAAATGGAGGACTGTTGCCCGTAAGGGGATCGAACCCTTAACACACGCGTTGTTAACACGGCGCTCTAACCAACTGAGCCAACAGGCAAAGAATTACATTTCATAATGGATAGAGTGTACTGAATGATCAACACCTCATTCTAAAAATTAGCTGAAGGTTCTAATTTATTATCATACGCCTTATTTTCACCTATTGATATACGGAGTCAAAATCAGAGAGGTTCAAACTGGTAGACATTATATTCAGGCCTTCGATCTCCATGTGAAAGGAAAATCATAAATGTTCCTATTGTATGGGCAATCAGGAGAGCTGACGAATTGTAGATTCATCCCGTACTTGATTTGTTGTTGTCGAACGTAAAGCAGATTCAATGAGGAAAATTCCTGAACAGAAGAGGACAAATGGACAAATTCTAACGTTCTTTCCCCATCATAGTGTCATCTGGTGCGATACAGTTAACGCACGAATCCAGGGGTTCATTTTGAGCTCAGGGGGACCAGGGCATGTCGAGCTCGAGGGCCTCTCAGGATGATAGGAAAAGATTATATGGCAAATAATTATAGTAACTAAAATGTAGGATGGATCACATTTCCTAAAATAAATAGATGAATTGATGAATAGAAAATAAAAGGCGGTCGAGGAAAGCTTCTAATTTTATTTCCATTTTCCTTAAATTTATTGACAGGAAAATAACAACGATTTTCAGTTTAAAACATAGACCATAGTTCAAAGGTATATTGCGATAACTAAACAGGTGTTAATAAACACCTTTTACTTTACCTTCATATTTTGCATCATCATTGCATTATCAATCCATTCATGATGATGATTTGTGAATGAACACTGTTTATTTATTTTTAAATATTTTACAATTATCAAGTTATTAACTTATTCGATTGGAGGTCATCCTGTAGAATTTCTGCCCCCCCCCATAAACACGGGTTATGAATTCGTTTTAATAATATTAATTTTCTATTTGTTTCCACACAGCCTCTCTCTGTACATATATATATGCATGTATGTATATGCATAAATATAAATATCATATATATATATATATATATATATATATATATATATATATATATATATATATATATTTATATGTATATCTTCTGTATATCTTATATATTGCATATACCATATATATTACATATATATGTATTATATATGTAGATAGATATGTAGATGGTAAGTGGTAGAAAAAAATATTTGTACGAATGAAGACAAAGACGCTTGTATAATAATGATAATAATAATAATAATAATAACGCAGCCCCCCATGCGTATATATATATATATATATGTATATATATATGTGTGTGTGTGTGTGTGTTCGTTTATATTCATGATTCTTATTCCAAGAGAAAAAAAAGTCGTCCTACAGTAAATCAATTCAAAATTGATTTCTTCCGAACGGTTCATCAGGAGATTGCGAGACAGTTACTAAGACGCGGTAGGTATGTCTCTGACTCTTGATGTCTCAATAAGGCGACTGTGTTTCCTCTCTCTTCCCTTCTGTTCCTTGTCGAGCATTTATTCTAATTCGGTAAGAGATAGATTATCTAAAACAAGATGATGAATTGGCCCGTAAGGGGATCGAACCCTCGACATCCGCGTTATGAACACGGCGCTCCAACCAACTGAGCTAACAGGACGGTATCTGTATGAAACAAGATGATAGGATTTCATTAACAACTACCGTGTGATTTCATTTGATGGAATTTCACTAACCAAGAGCACCTTTTTCCAAATATTACCCGAAGATCATAGCTCATGAAAATGCTGAAAATAGAGTAAGCTTTATATTTGCGTCATTTACAAGTATGAAACTCAGATTTTTAAATTTATTTTTCTTATTGACAGAAGGAGTAACTACGACTTGAAGTGGGTGGGGGACCCGGCCTGTCGATTGCCTAGCCCCCCCCCCCGATTATAATGATATAAACACTTTTAAATTTGTTTTTCTTATATAAAAATGAATGTCCTTTACAGATATCACACACACACACAGACACACGCACGGACACAGACACACACACACACACACACACACACACACACACACACACACACACACACACACACACACACACATATATATATATATATATATATATATATATATATATATATATATATATATATGTCAAGCTGAATAGATAAACAACATTATTCGTGACGCAAAACGCGCGATTTCCGTGAAGCAGTTAACGGGAATACGAGACTTCGAGCAGGAAAGGCGAGCACATCATGAGGCGAATCATTTGCCAAAGGAAATCACATCCAAACCAACCGACTTCTTACCGTGCGTCGGCGAATTTCCGACTTTCTGGAAATCCTTCGAATGCTTCGTAGGATCACCAGAAAAGGTTCGAAACGTTCCGCTCATTTGCAGCTCATAATGCGACTGCTTATTTTTGTGTATAATATATAAGATATATATAATATATAAAATATATATAATATATATTATATATATGAAATATATATTATATATTATAAATATATATTATATATATAATATATATTATATATTATATATATATATATTATATACATTATATATATATAATATAAATATATTATATATATATATATATATATTATACTTAATATATTAATATATATATATATAATATATAAAATATAAAGCTTACTCTTTTTTCTCAGCATTTTTCATGAGCTATGATCTTCTGGTAATATTTGGAAAAAGGTGCTTTGTTAGTGAAATTCCATCAAATCAAATAAAATGTTGATTGTTAATAAAATCCTAACTTATCTAGTAATGTCAACGACCTGTTAGCTCAGTTGGTTAGAGCGCCGTGCTAAGAACACGATGTCGAGGGTTCGATCCCCTTACGGGCCAAGTTGAAAAGGTTTTTATGATTATCTATCTCTTACCGAATTAGAATAAATGTTCGACAAGGAACAGAAGGGAAGAGAGAGGAAACAGTCGCCTTTTTGAGACATCAAGAGTCAGGGACATACCTACCGCGTCTTAGTAACTGTCTCGCTGTCTCCCAATGAACAGTTCGGAAGAAATGAATTTTGAATTGAAAGAGTGTAAGAAAGCGTGCGTGCATGTGTGGATGTCTTTAAAAGGTATGTCCTGATTACGTCACGAGATCCCCTGCTTTTAACAGTACTAAACAGACTGCGAGAAAATCGGTTAACCTAAGAGGATAGCGGGCATATTGCGTGTGAACATACGGGAAAATGGCCTTTTTATAGCGTGTGTAAACTTGGATTTCATTAATTTCGCTTCCTGTGATTATGAAGGACATTTCCCTCGGCGAAAATAAAATCACCAAATCTGAATTTTTACATGTGTATTTTGTCTAAATATTCGTTCTATCGTTTTTTTTTTTCTTTTCTTTTCTTTTCATTTCTTTTTTAGCACATACAGTCGTCGTCTCCACTGATGTCCTTATGCTTTCAATAAACAATTTAATGAATAGATAAATAAACAAATTCTCTTTTTTTATAACCAGTAGCTGGTTCCAATGATATATGTTCAAGCTTTCAAAAAACATTTCCTGAATAAAAGGACATTTTTCTTTCTTTGAATCGAATTGGAAGCACACTTTTCTCTCCTTCGACTTGGTCAAAATTTCACTTTCCAATTCCTCCTTGTGACTAAGAATTCTTCCTTCTTACCTGAATTTTTTGGCGAGATGGCAACTTTTCTCGATGAATATGGTGTAGGTTAGATGCTTGCAAGGATATGTGCGTATGCATTTTGGTTTATGTGTACGTGTGTCTGTGTGCCGGTTAATGTGGCTGCTTGTTTACCGACATTTCATCTGTGTTTGCGAAGAGAAGTGATGAAGACCTGTGTGCGAATGCTTGCAAATATGCAAATATAATATAAAGCCAGGGTACAATCTAAATATCTTTATTCTGATCTTTATATAAACATATGTTTGCATGTATGCACGTGTGTGAACATATTTATACACACACAAAGATAGATATATGTATAAATGTGTATATATATATAACATATATGTTATATATTATATATATATATATATATATATATATATATATATATATATATATATATATATATATATATATATATATATATGTACAGGTACACGTATGTTTATATGCATATACATATATACACACACACATATATATGCATGCATATATACATATATATATATATATATATATATATATATATATATATATATATTATTGTGTGTGTGTGTTCATATTTGTATATTCATATCATATATACATACATACATACATGTATATATACATATATATATATATATGTGTGTGTGTGTGTGTGTGTGTGTGTGTGTGTGTGTGTGTGTGTATGCACACACATACACATACATACATACATACATGTATATATATACATATATATACATATATATATATATATATATATATATATATATATATCCTTTGTAAGACTTTTTAAAATAAGAATAGAAACAGATACAAAATTGTTTATATCATTATAATCATTATAATGATAAATGTACAAATATGATATATATGATATAAGTATATGATATGAATATGATACATAATATATGTATGAATATGTAATATATACAATATATATAATAAATATACTATACGATATTTATGCAAATGAGTGTATATATATACATACATATACATGTATATATACATATATATGTGTGTGTGTGTATAGAAACAAATACAAAATTCGCAGCATCATGAAAACGAATTCATAACCCAGGTGTGTGTGGAGTGTGGCCTGTCCACCGTTCGAATCCCTTGATAAATGGATGCTAGTAAAATATTAAGAAAAGAAGTAAAAGTGTTCGTTTAGAAATCATAATCATGAATGGATTGATAATGCAGGTGAGGTGAGAGGTGTTTATTAACACATTTAATTAATTATCGCAATATAACTTTGAAGTATGGTCTATGTTTTAAACGGAAAATCGTAGATAATTTTTCTTGTCAATAAGTTTAAGGAAAATAGAAGAGAAGTTAGAGGTTTTCGTCGTAGCTACTTTAATGAATTGCAATATAATTCATTGTCATTACGCTGAGAGGCCCTCGAGCTCGACATGCCCTGGTCCCCCTGAGCTCAAAATGAACCCCTGGATTCGTGCGTTAACTGTATCGCTCCAGATGACACTATGATGGGGAAAGAACGTTAGAATTTGTCCATTTGTCCTCTTCTGTTCAGGAATTTCCTTAAATGAATCTATAAATATAAAACTGACTAAGAATAATGATTTTTGGTTTCTGATGTAGACCATAGTTAAAAGTTATATTGCGATGACAGAATAAGTATTATTAATTTTCCTGATTTTCGTTCGACATAACAACAAATCAAGTATTGGACGAATCTACACTTGGTCAGCTCTCCTGATTGTCCAAACAGTATGAACATTTCTGATTTCCCTTTCACATGGGCTAAGATCGGCTTGAAAATAATGTCTGCCAGTTTGAATCACTCTCATTTTGACTTCGTATATCAATAGGTGAAAATAAGACGTACGGACCAGTAAAATTAAACTTTTAGATAATACATCACTTATTGAATTTAATTAGTGTTCGGTAAAGAAGAGAAGGGAAGAGAGAGGAAACATAGTCGCCTTATTGAAACGTCAAGAATCAGAGACATACCTACTGCGTCTTTATTATTTGAAATCGTCCTGTTAGCTCAGTTGGTTAGAGCGCCGCGTCTTAGTCTCTCAATGAACAGTTCGGAAGAAATGAATTTTGAATTAATGTACTGTGAGAATGCAAATTATTTGAAATCGTCCTGTTAGCTCAGTTGGTTAGAGCGCCGTGTTGATAACGCGGATGTCAAGGGTTCGATCCCCTTACGGTCTAAGTATTGATCATTTTAGATAATCTATCTCTTACCGAATTAGAATAAATGTTCGACAAGGAACAGAAGGGAAGAGAGAAGAAACATAATCGCCTTTTTTAAACTTATCAAGAGTCAGTGACATACCTTCTGCGTCTCGCTGTCTCCCAATGAACAGTTCGGAAGAAATGAATTTTGAATTGACAGAGTGTAAGAATGCGTGCGTGCATGTGTGGATGTCTTTAAAAGGTATGTCCTGATTACGTCACGAGATCCCCTGCTTTTAACAGCACTAAACAGACTGCGAGAAAATCAGTTAACCTAAGAGGATAGCGGGCATATTGCGTGTGAACATATGGGAAAATGGCCTTTTTATAGCGTGTGTAAACTTGGATTTCATTAATTTCGCTTCCTGTGATCATGGAGGACATTTTCCTTGACGAAATTAATTTACACAAATCTAAAATTTTACGAGTGTACTTTGTCTTCAAATTCCTCCTCTCGTTCTTTCTTTCTTTCCTTCTTTTTAGCATATACAGTCGTCGTCTCCACTGATGTGCTTAAGCTTTCAATAAACAATTTAATGAATAGATGAATAAAAAAAGAAAAAAAATCACATACACATAAACCCACATTCATACGCACATACCCATGCACGCATCTAACCTACACCATATTTCTCGAGAAATGTTGCCATCTCGTGATGAATTTTTAGTCGTAAGGAGGGATTGGAAAGTGAAATTCAACCACAACGAAGGAGAGAAAAGTGTGTTTCCAATTCGATTCAAAGAAAGAAAAATGCCCTTTTATTCAGGAAATGTTCTTTGAAAGCTTGAACATATATCAATGGAAGCAGCCACTGCATACGTTGGTTGAGAAAATCGAGATTTTTTAATTTTCATTCATCTATTCATTAAATTGTTTATTGAAAGCTTAAACACATCAGTGGAGACATCGACTTTATATGCTAAAAAGAAAGAAAGAAAAAGAAAGAACGAGAGAAGGAATATTGAGACAAAGTACACGTGAAATTTCAGATTTGTGTAAATTAATTTTCGTCAAGAAAAATGTCCTCCATGATCACAGGAAGCGAAATTAATGAAATCCAAGTTTACACACGCTATAAAAAGGCCATTTTCCCATATGTTCACACGCAATATGCCCGCTATCCTCTTAGGTTAACCGATTTTCTCGCAGTCTGTTTAGTGCTGTTAAAAGCAGGGGATCTCGTGACGTAATCAGGACATACCTTTTAAAGACATCCACACATGCACGCACGCATTCTTACACTCTATCAATTCAAAATTCATTTCTTCCGAACTGTTCATTGGGAGACAGCGAGACAGTTGCTAAGACGCAGAAGGTATGTCCCTGACTCTTGATACGTTTAAAAAAGGCGATTTTGTTTCCTCTCTCTTCCCTTCTGTTCCTTGTCGAACATTTATTCTAATTCGGTAAGAGATAGATTATCTAAAACACTATTTAGACCGTAAGGGGATCGAACCCTCGACATCCGCGTTATTAACACGGCGCTCTAACCAACTGAGCTAACAGGACGATATCAAATATGCATTCTCACAGTATATCAATTCAAAATTCATTTCTTCCGAACTGTTCAGCGAGACAGACTAAGACGCGGTAGGTATGTGTCTAACTCTTGACAAGTTTCAATAAGGCGACTATGTTTCCTCTCTCTTCCCTTCTCTTCTTTACCGAACACTAATTAAATTCAAAAAGTGATGTATTACCTAAAAGTTAAATTTTACTGGTCCGTACGTCTTATTTTCACCTATTGATATACGAAGTCAAAATGAGAGTGATTCAAACTGGCAGACATTATTTTCAAGCCGATCTTAGCCCATGTGAAAGGGAAATCAGAAATGTTCATACTGTTTGGACAATCAGGAGAGCTGACCAAGTGTAGATTCGTCCAATACTTGATTTGTTGTTATGTCGAACGAAAATCAGGAAATTTAATAATACTTATTTCTGTCATCGCAATATAACTTTTAACTATGGTCTACATCAGAAACCAAAAATATTATTCTTAGTCAGTTTTATATTTATAGATTCATTTAGGGAAATTCCTGAACAGAAGAGGACAAATGGACAAATTCTAACGTTCTCTCCCCATCATAGTGTCATCTGGAGCGATACAGTTAACGCACGAATCCAGGGGTTCATTTTGAGCTCAGGGGGACCAGGGCATGTCGAGCTCGAGGGCCTCTCAGCGTAATGACAATGAATTATATTGCAATTCATTAAAGTAGCTACGACGAAAACCTCTAACTTCTCTTCTATTTTCCTTAAACTTATTGACAAGAAAAATTATCTACGATTTTCCGTTTAAAACATAGACCATACTTCAAAGTTATATTGCGATAATTAATTAATGTGTTAATAAACACCTCTCACCTCACCTGCATTATCAATCCATTCATGATTATGATTTCTAAACGAACACTTTTACTTCTTTTCTTAATATTTTACTAGCATCCATTTATCAAGGGATTCGAACGGTGGACAGGCCACACTCCACACACACCTGGGTTATGAATTCGTTTTCATGATGCTGCGAATTTTGTATTTGTTTCTATACACACACACACATATATATGTATATATACATGTATATGTATGTATATATATACACTCATTTGCATAAATATCGTATAGTATATTTATTATATATATTGTATATATTACATATTCATACATATATTATGTATCATATTCATATCATATACTTATATCATATATATCATATTTGTACATTTATCATTATAATGATTATAATGATATAAACAATTTGTATCTGTTTCTATTCTATTTTAAAAAGTCTTACAAAGGATTATATATATATATATATATATATATATATATATGTATATATGTATATATATGTATATATATACATGTATGTATGTATGTATGTGTATGTGTGTGCATACACACACACACACACACACACACACACACACACACACACACACACACACACACACAACATATATTATATATATATATACATGTATGTATGTATATGATATGATATACAATATGAACACACACACACAATATATATATATATATATATATATATATATATATATATATATATATAATGTATATATATGCATGCATATATATGTGTGTGTGTATATATGTATATGCATATAAACATACGTGTACCTGTACATATATATATATATATATATATATATATATATATATATATATATATATATATATATATAATATATATAATATATATTACACATCATATATCTATTTTTGTGTGTGTATAAATATGTTCACACACGTGCATACATGCAAACATATGTTTATATAAAGATAAGAATAAAGATATTTAGATTGTACCCTGGCTTTATATTATATTTGCATATTTGCAAGCATTCGCACACAGGTCTTCATCATTTCTCTTCGCAAACACAGATGAAATGTCGGTAAACAAGCAGCCACATTAACCGGCACACAGACACACGTACACATAAACCCAAATGCATACGCACATATCCTTGCAAGCATCTAACCTACACCATATTCATCGAGAAAAGTTGCCATCTCGCCAAAAAATTCAGGTAAGAAGGAAGAATTTTTAGTCACAAGGAGGAATTGGAAAGTGAAATTTTGACCAAGTCGAAGGAGAGAAAAGTGTGCTTCCAATTCGATTCAAAGAAAGAAAAATGTCCTTTTATTCAGGAAATGTTTTTTGAAAGCTTGAACATATATCATTGGAAGCCAGCATACGTTGGTTGTGAAAATAGAGAATTTGTTTATTTATCTATTCATTAAATTGTTTATTGAAAGCATAAGCACATCAGTGGAGACGACGACTGTATGTGCTAAAAAAAAGAAAAGAAAAAAAAGAAAAAAAAAAAAAAGAGAACGAATATTGAGACAAAATACACTCATGTAAAATTTCAGATTTGGGTGATTTTATTTTCGCCGAGGGAAATGTCCTTCATAATCACAGGAAGCGAAATTAATGAAATCCAAGTTTACACACGCTATAAAAAGGCCATTTTCCCATATGTTCACACGCAATATGCCCGCTATCCTCTTAGGTTAACTGATTTTCTCGGTCTGTTTAGTACTGTTAAAAGCAGGGGATCTCGTGACGTAATCAGGACATACCTTTTAAAGACATCCACACATGCACGCACGCATTCTTACACTCTGTCAATTCAAAATTCATTTCTTCCGAACTGTTCATTGGAGAACGCGAGACAGTGTCACTAAGACGCGGTAGGTATGTCTCTGACTCTTGATAAGTTTCAATAAAGCGACTATGTTTCCTTTCTTTTCCCTTCTGTTCTTTAACGAACACTAATTTGAATTCAATAAAAAATGGAGGACTGTTGCCCGTAAGGGGATCGAACCCTTAACACCGCGTTGTTAACACGGCGCTCTAACCAACTGAGCCAACAGGCAAAGAATTACAAATTAAATTGGATAGAGTGTACTGAATGATCAACACATTCTAAAAATTAGCTGAAGGTTCTAATTTATTATCATACGCCTTATTTTCACCTATTGATATACGGAGTCAAAATCAGAGAGGTTCAAACTGGTAGACATTATATTCAGGCCTTCGATCTTAGTCCATGTGAAAGGAAAATCATAAATGTTCCTATTGTATGGGCAATCAGGAGAGCTGACGAATTGTAGATTCATCCAATACTTGATTTGTTGTTGTCGAACGTAAATCAGACTCAATGAGGAAAATTCATGAACAGAAGAGGACAAATGGACAAATTCTAACGTTCTTTCCCCATCATAGTGTCATCTGGTGCGATACAGTTAACGCACGAATCCAGGGGTTCATTTTGAGCTCAGGGGGACCAGGGCATGTCGAGCTCGAGGGCCTCTCAGGATGATAGGAAAAGATTATATGGCAAATCATTATAGTAACTAAAATGTAGGATGATCAATTTCAAAATAGATAAATAAATGATAAATTAAGGAAAGCTAATTTCCATTTTCCTTAAATTTATTGACA